TTTAGTTATGGATATTAATCTTTCTCTCCTAAGGCAAACCCGCCAAACCCCGAAGCGCCGGGTCTGCGTCCCAGGCTGCCCAATAAGGCCACCCTCCGCAGGGCCATGCTCTTCTCCCGTGGATTGCTTGGTGGCATTGCCCCCTCCCAAAAAAAAGCCCTGCAGCCCCTTGTCCACTGCAGGGTGCAGAGCAGCGGGGCACACATGGGAAACGGCCGACATAAAAGCAGCTGGGGCCAAAAGTTCACAGACAACTCAGTTACCTAAGGAAAAAAATAAAGTGAAAAGGAGAAGGAAACGTACTTTGAGATTTCAGACTTGTTATTTTCATATTTTACAGTCAAATCAGCAAGAAAGCCACACGATTGCCTCTGACAGAAGAATTATCTGCGAACATGAAACGGCGCTGGTGTGCACCAGCTTCTGAAGGGGTCCGCCCTCCGCTCACGCACGATGCCCAGCGTCACTGAAAGCTCTCGGCGGCGTTTCTCTTGGCTGCCTTTGGAAACTGCCACCAAGATTTACTTGAATGCAGAAATAATGCTCCTACCTCGTGGGAACTGCGCCTCACAACTGCTACCAAGACCATGTGAGCCAAGGCTATGGGAAGACAATCCCAATCCAACACCACCTTTTGTCAGCTGCAGGCTGTACCACATGCTTTTGTAACCTAATAATAATAGACCTTTCTTTCAAGTAGCTGAACAACTGCTTGATTCCTGCCAAAATAACAAATATGTAGTATTAAAGCAATGTCATTATTTCAGGGGAAGAACAAACTACTGTCGGCACAATTCAGTTTACAAGCTTGAGTTCCTCATCAGTAATACACACACACACACGTGATTGAAGTCACACTCGTGAGCAGTCTCAGTGGCTTTTAAGGACGGACTGGCAGTGTTCAAAGATAAATGCAGTGTTTAAAGATGAAGTGCATGATGTCCACAGGACTACAGCCTAACCAGTGCTTGCCATAATGTCATTTGACATTATCCATCAGTCTTGGACAAATTTTAAAATTAGGTCCACTGGATCACCACTTTTAACTTCAATTCGCATTCTTTCTACTTCTATATAATGGGCATCTCACTCCCCTCTGAAGTGTTTTCATTTATTATGGTGAGAGTGAATTTGCAGTGTATCACTACCCCAGAGGAGTTTTAGTTTACCTTTCAACCAACATATGTGTCTACCATGTGGAATCTTATAACTGAAAACATTACTAAAATAAAGGTATATGTTAATGTGTTAGTTGTGTAAGTGAATTCTTTGCCTCTGATGTGGATGTAACACACAAGTCCTCTGCAGCGTCCTGCAGCTGCTAACTCAATGTACCTGAAACAGCGTGCGGCTGGACATATCTACATTAGAATGTATAAATCTCATGTTTGCATTACCGTGAATCATAGAATCACAGAATTGTTTAGGTTGGAAAAGACCTTTAAGATCATCAAGTCCAACCCTTAATCTAACAATGCCAAGTCCACCACTAAACCATGTCTACCTGTCTTTTAAATACCTCCAGGGATGGGGACTTGACCACTTCCCTGGGCAGCCCGTTCCAGTGCTTGACAACCCTTTTGGTGAAGAAATTTTTCTTATTTTTGCTTGCTTTTAATGACTCAAGCAACTTAAGGGCCTTCACAAATATTTTATATAGTTTCTCATCAGTTTTGCTTTTCCTTTATGACTTACTCTGTGTATTCGATACTTAACATAAGTGGATTATTTGAAACTATCTGGTATATTAAATATGTAGCTGCAGGTTCCTCAGAAGGGCCTGGCTAGGGCTTAAGGCAGAAGTGGTGCACGGGGGTAACGTGGCACAGGAACAGCCCTGACCCACCTGCCCCTGCATCGCGTCACATCAGCGCGCAGTCCCGATTAGATGGGGGCAGTCCCCTTGGCCTCCTTGCCCCCACCCAGCGAGGTGGGTCAGTGCCATGCTGCCAGGCTCTCCAAGATTGGTTTATGATGACTAGTTTGGGGGCAAGGGATTTAACTGTATGTGACTGTACATGAGTGTGAGCACCCACAGATGCAATTTTATATATATATATGTATTTGAAGTTCCTCTTATCTGCACCCAGGTGTTTCACCCAGGAGGACACCAGCCTCCAAGCAGAGAGGTGCTCTACAGAGGTACAAAAACACCTTTAGCAACACAGCACCGCGATGCAGGGCTGATGGGGTCCAGCTATCCTCCCCTCTCTTGGCCTCCCTCCCTTCCCATCTCAGTGGGGAAGGGAGCTCAGCAGCTGCTGGACAAGGCTGGCTCTCTCCCTGCCAGCAGCAACAGTTTCTGCATGACTTTTGATGGACCTCGGCTTCCCTGCACCTCATCGGCCTGGCTGAGTTGCACCCACTCTCTCCAGGGCGGTCGGGTGCCCACCCTAAAAAGAAGAGGTAGGAAGCGGGGAAAGAAGCAACCCAACTGGTGGCTGGACCAGGGCAATTGTGTCATCCCATATTATCTCTTCTGCCCTGCTCGTATATCACATATCACATCAGCCCTTCGCATATTCCCATCATCACCTGTGCCTGTGTCACCACTGTAGTCTCTGCACAGATCTCCACACCCACTGTCACTCCAGTACCCTGACACCCCTAACCCTCAACACTATCCCAACAGTCCCGATGAAGAACCATTTTCCTCACCCTCCAGTTGTGACCACCCCAGCCAGACCTTTAGACTTTTTTTTGAGCTGCTTTAAGCTCGGCTTCCTCCACCACCACTACGTAACCAAAGGCAGGTGGCAGCTGGGACTCTGCCTAATGTGTAGCACAGGTAATATAATATTTGTGCTTGCTTTTAGTATTCAGTCCCATAGTTACCATTCACTGTGTGATGCAGTCAATAGGTGACCCCTTAAACATTCACATTCTCTTACAGCTTTTTCTCTTAACAGTGAAAATAATTTTACCAGTTTACCAAAAAAGGGAAACCTGGCTGCCAAAAGCATTTCCCT